AAATGAAGCCGCAATTATTTTAATCGCGGCTTCATTTCCCTCTTCCGATGTGGCTAATCTACATGCCTCCGTCGAAGGAGGCATGGAGTCTGGACACAGCCATAGTGATTATGATGAGACGTGTGAAAGACATCCATTAGACACCTGGAACTAGTTTACAAATACCGAATCCAGGGGATATCAGGAACTCTTCTGCACCCTTCTGTGCAAGCTTGAACCCAGAGGTCCCTGGGCCCCAATTAATTAAACTCTGTGTGAATAAAGTAGACACACATCTTAATTTCTGGGAGCATGTCTTTTCAAATTATTCATTCCATCTTTCTTGCCATTATTCTCCATTTATTTATATCTATCCCTTCCTTTATATTGAAAATTGTAATAAAGTCAAAATAGATAGTGATATTTTTTTTTCTGAAAGCACTAGATCTTGGAGTCATGTTAGTATGTGAAAATATCAGCTTTAATCCTTTCTTTTTAAGAAAGTTTCTAGAGAACATGGTGGTAGAGAAAAGCTCAGAGATGTAAACCCTAAAGCGATGTTTGGCCCATTTTGAGAAAGCTGCTAACAGGATGCTCCGGTTTGTTTAATTACCAGCTCCGCAGCTTTGCAGCTCCTACTGGATGTGTCTAGACTACATGGCTCCATCGACGGAGCCATGTAAAGTAGTTTACTTGACATAGTCAGTGAATCGGGGATTTAAATGATCCCCACTTCATTAAAATAAAAATGGCCGCTACACTGTGCCGACAATCAGCTGATCTGGCACAGCGCAGTAGTCTAGATGCGACACGGTCAACAAGGGAAGTCTTTCACGAGGCTTACAGGAGTGGTCGACAAAGGCTTCCCTTGTGGACTGCGCCGCATCTAGACTGCCGTGATGTGCTGGATCAGCTGATTGTCAGCACAGCGCAGTCGCCATTTTTATTTTAATGAAGCGGGGATTATTTAAATCCCCGTTTCACTGACTATGAGTAAACTACTTTACATGGCTCTGTCGACGGAGCCATGTAGTCTAGACACACCCATTGGCTCTGGTTTACCATTTGCAGCCAAGGGGAAATGTGGGAAGTGATATGGCCTGGGCTGCTGCTTCCCACCACTCCCCGTGGCTGCAAATGGTGAACCACAGCCAACGGGAGCCACAAGGCTCATAGCTGTGGAGCTGGTAAGTAAACAACCTGGAGCAGCCTGTTAGCAGCTTTCTCAGAGTGAGCCCATGGCCCACTTTGAGAAACTCTGTCCTAAAGGCTCAAAACCCAAATGCAAGTACAAAATGTTCATGATGTTTTTTAAGACACTGTCATGGTGAACTAGAACCTTACCCCTGGTTTAGAATGTTTAGGGTTGTCAGTGCTGTTTGCTTTTTCTTCCCTCACCCAGATTTTTTCCACTCTTACCATTTTGTCCAGTGTTTCTGCATGTCTCCTTATTCTGTCATCTTTCTTTGACATTTTGGCTCCATTTCTGCTATTCATACTTTTTCTTTCCTTTGTTTCCCTTTTGTAATCGTCTCTCTCCCCTCGCCAACCTCTCTCTTGTTCGATCTCAAAAAATATGTTCCAATTTTTTTAAAAGTATCTGAAAACTGTCAACTTCTGTGTCTTATAATAGCTAATTTAGTTTT